ACTCTGGAAATAGTAGATTCGGTGTTTCTAGTGGGTATATGGAGCAAGGGGAGCAAGAAGGACAGAATACCCTAAATCAAGAATGGCCCATATGCAAAAGTTAATTTTTTTAAAAAAAGACGAAGTCTTGCTGTGTGGCCCAGGCTGGAGAGCAGGGTCTGTTCACAGGTGTGACCATTGTGCACTGTGGCCGTGAACTCCTGGGCTTACACAATCCTGCTCACAACACCTGAGTAGCTGGAACTACAGGCACATGCCTCCATGCCTGACTAAATGAAAGTTGAATTTTAATGGGAAATATGAGTTAAGATTTGAACATCTGGAGTTTGAGATTCCATCATGACCCACAGTATCCTTAATTTTCTCATTGTATAAATGGATAGAATAATAATGCCTGTCTTATCAGATTTTTAGGAGAATAACAACAATAATAGGTAACACTTACCTGGCAGATTACACTTTTTATGTACCAAGCACTGCTCTATGCACCTTAAATATTTCAACCTAGATTATTCCCATATTACAGATGAGGAATCTGAGGCACAGGGAGGCTAAGTAACTTTCCCAGGGTCACACAGATTATGTGCATCAGACTCAGAATTTCAACGCAGGCAGGTGCAGCTGCAGGGCCAGTATCTTCACCTCTTCATAGTCCTACCTCTGGCATGGCTCTGTACTTGGGGTGTTAAAAGCCAGTACTAACTGTTATTTGACATTATTCATGTAAAGATGGTAAGCAAGAATTTAGAAATTTAGGTTTAGAGTTTAGGCCAAACCCTAGACTGATAGATCATCTCTATAGGGCTGTTATGTAAAGAGTGAGAATAGATGAGCTCCCCAAACAAAATTATATAGAATAAAAAGATAGGCAAGCATACACTCTTCAGGGGTCTGCTGATATTTAGAAATGGACAGGCAAAAAAGAAGTTAGGAGAGGAGATAGAGCAGGATCCGCCAAAGAGAAGTGGAGGATGATGGTGGCCAAGGGAAGAAGCACAGCGTAAGTGGACTAATTGTGCCATTCAGTGCAACAGACTGGTTACAAGGCTGTGTGCAACAGACTGCCCCTAGTCCTGGCGCCAGGTCAGTTCATGAAGTTGGAATCCAGAGTGCAAAAAATTGAGGACTACATGGGAGCTGAGGTATTGCAGCGGCTTAGTCAGTTCATTCTTGCGGGAATTGATTCGAGAGAGACGTGGTAGATGGATTGGGTTGAGGAAGGCTCAGGTAGACAGGAAGATGTTAAAAGAAGGAAAAGGGAGAAAGGAATGAGTGCATGGTCCAGGGTGGAGAGACGGGGATAGACTCAAAATCACATGGAGGGTAGTGGGTTAGCCTCGAAATCCATAAGAACTCTTTTTCCAATGGGATGGAAAAAAGGATGGCGGAAATGGAAAAGAAAAAGATGTGATAAGAAGGGATAGGAGTTGAGTAAGTTCACCGCAGGCGGTCTGCATTGATTTATCAGTAGAGTAGGAAGCAGTGAAAGGAAATTCACAGACAAGTAACTCCGGCTGCTGAGAGGCTGGCTCTGGGGATTATTGTTATGGAGGAAAAATTTGAAAGAATGACAGAAGTCTCTCATCTGAACAATACAAACTGACACATTTGCCAGAATGTGTCTCCAGGCAGGAAGTTAATTTATTGAAGTGGAAAGTAGTGGTTATAAAAAAAGAGAGAGAGAGAATGAAATTAGACAAAGGAAAACTTGACTGTCTTTGAAGGAGGAATTTTTAGACAACCAGACTTAATGGTTCACAGGCCAACTTCTTGGGGGAAATCTGAGCTCTGAGTGGTGAGAAACAACTGGTTTTAGAGGCCACAGCTAGGGTTTGGTTAAAACAGAACCACCAAGGCACCAGGAAATACTCTGTAGAAAGGAGTCGTCCAACAGAGACAGCTCTGAATTAAATTCTCCTCCTGTTAAGGTGGTCTCTGATTTTCAGTTTACTTATTTCTAGAAAGACCTTTAGTCGAAAAAACATAGGCTTGTGGCATTTCAGCAGATTTGTTGTGATAATGACATCAGGGGGATGTGAGAAAAGGTTTGAAAAATCCAATAATTAAGAACGTGGTACTAAAAATCACTACTCCATCAGTCCATTGGTGGGTCTTATGGCAGTTGCTTTGAAAGGTGTCAGTAAAGGCTTGTTCAAGTGCGTGCAGTATAAACTGAGAGGCATAATATTCTTGAGTTCAATGGTTCTCGGCAGGGCCAGCTATGTAACCCATTGAGCCTGGTGCAAAATGAAAATGTGTGACCCTTTGTTCAAAAGGCAATAAAAAAGTGCTGTTAAAGGTACTAAATATGAAGCTTTTTTTCTTTCACATACAGCTTTTTCTCTTGATTTGTCATGATATTGGCTACTTGTCATTCTATGTGAACAAAAATTAAACATTAAAATTATAGCATGAATTAAATTTAAAAATTAAAAAACTAAGCATTGAAGTTTTTAGCATGAATTTCCTCTTCATCTTTGTATTGTACAATGTTGAGGATTTTTTTGTGCTTGTTCATTTTGTTTTGTTTTTTGAGACAGGATCTCACTCTGTCACCCAAGCTAGAATGCGGTGGCGCGGACACAGCTCACTGCAGCTTCTACTCTCTGGGCTCAGGTGATCCTCCCACCTCAGCCTCCCAAGTAGCTGGGACTACAGGTGCATACCTGACTAATTTTTTGTAGAGACAGGGTCTCACCATGTTGCTCAGGTTGGTCTTGAAATCCTGGGCTTAAGCAATCCTCTTGCCTCGGCTTCCCAAGGTGTTGGTATTACAGGCGTGAGCCACTGCGCCCAGTGCAATGCTGGTTTTAAATGAAAATATAGAGCATTGAACTCATACACAGAATTGCTGAAGTTGTCGTTGCGTCTGTATATTGTTATGGTAACAGTGGAAACACTGCACAAAATTTAACTACTTTTATTTCACTTCTTGATGTGCACATTCTGTTGACAGCTACCTTTGGCTTATGATGTGTAAGGAAGGACCGAAAGGAAAAGCAACTATGAGTTGCTTTATCTTTCCTTTTCCTTCTGTGCCATCATTTTCAGCGTAAGTGGTTGGCTAATTCGGTTAGGTAACATGACAAAGAGATAATATGCTAAGGCTCGTTGGTCATTTGTGTTTCTTAGACATTTCTGCGTTTAATCAAGTTCTGGTTCAAATGGAAGGCCTTGCCTCTTGGGGCAGTCAGCACCCACCTGCCTGCTTGCTGAGTTGTGTTTGTAACACACTTACCTTGCACTTGCTTTAAGTCTTGCTGAACTTCCACGCACCAGGAGTTCACTGGAATTCTGTGCTCATGGTGCATTGGGAAAACTGTGTGAACAGGGAGCCCAGGAATGGTGGCTGTACATATTACGTGGTATGTTAGGCTGTTTTGCATTGCTATAAAGGAAAAATAGGGCTGGGTAATTTATAAAGAAAAAAGGTTTAATTGGCTCACAGTTCTGCAGGCTGTACATGAAGCATAGCGCCAGCATCTGCTTCTGGCAAGGCCCCAGGAAGCTTCTGATCATGGCAGAAGGCAAGGGGAGCCAGCTTGTTACATGATGAGAGAGGGAGCAAGAGAGACAGAAGCGGGAGGTCCCAGACTCTTAAACAACCAGATCTCCCATGAACTAATTGAGCAAGATTCATTCATTACTAAGGGGATGATGCTAAACATTCATGAGGGATCCACCCCATGATCCAGTCCCCTCCCACCAGGGCCCACATCCAACATTAGGAATCACATTTCAACATGAGATTTGAAAGGATCAAACATCCAAACCATATCACATGGTTCTCCTCTGCTCACTGTGGGCTCCACTGTCCCGTTGGACCTGACTTATAAAACACAAATGAAAAATTACTATCATTCTCAAGATGGTGACGGTAGAGTATTAAATGAACCATGGGTCTTTTCTGAGCATGGAGTCCTATGTTACTGCCCAGGTCACAGGTCCATGAAGATGTCTCAGAAGTCAAAGAGCTCACTTTTGAGCCTAAGTGTCCGTTGATCCTAACGTCTCAGCTTCATTATCAAAGTTTGCAATGTGTCAGCTTTGTGGGTGGTAGCCTAGGAGACCCTCTCCTGGCCATCAGCAAGGTCATTTTTGCCTTTCGATTTTGAATCATTCTCCATTCCCCCTCTACCAGTGTATCTGGGTTCACATCTTCCTCATCTCTGATACAAACCCTGCCGTTGCCTCCTCCTGGAGCCCTGCAGTTAGTCTCTTCTCTTTATTCCGCACCTTACTACCAGACACAATTTCCAAATAATTTTGGTGCCCTGCCACCCTGCCTACTCCAAAGCTTTCTTTGACCCGTGAGCCATGGCTTATAGCGGATCTCATCCTGGTGCTCCTGGGGTGGAGACTGCATGGAGACAGGGTTGGTTTGGCCTACGTGTTACTAAGAAAGAAGTTTCAGCTGACACTTGCTTTGGGAGGGTTCACTTATCGAAATTCACCTATTGAAGTTCAGATTTTAAACAGAGGTCTGGCCACTGTGGGCTCTTGTTTTCTTACGCTTTTCTGGTGCCCTAAAGAACAAGATGGGCTGGAAATGGGGAGAAAGATGCCCAGTCCATCTCATTTTTGGGTTTACACGTAAGGCAGAGTGATTCTTTGCTGTGGCAAAATCATCACGTTCAGTTATGTAAATGGAAAGCAAGTATCTGGCTATTCTTAAGAATGCTGTGAAGCAACCTGAAAGTTGATCTTTTAGTCTGAGAAATTAAATTCCCTGTTCGTAATAGAAGTTGGGTGTATACTTGGTAGCAGCCTTTGGTTGCTTTTCTTGGGAGAAATATTTCTTAAGTCTCGCCTGGCTATTATTACCACTGTGTCATCTTGTGACCTCATCTGATCTTGACCTCTTTCTCCAAGCTTGACTTTCCCTGCCTTCCTGTGCAGAGGACTCTGGTTCCAATTCCTGCAGGGCCGTAAGTCCAGCAAACCTTTCTATTTTTCCTATTCCTCTTCTCTTTGCTTAACCTCTCCTCTTTCCTCCAGACCCGCTCAAAAGCAGTTCATCAGGAAAACTTAGCTGAGAGTCCCAGTCAGAGCTCATTCGTACAGGAACTTTGCAGGAATCAGGTAATCAAGTTTTTGGGTTTTAACTGCTCAAGTACCAATTGGGTAGGGAGTTAAAGTTGTCTTTGAAGGTTCCTTCCAGCACAGTGATTTTGAGATCTGGCATCTATTTGTTATTTGAAATTGTACTTTGTGATAGGTACTTTACTTGCAGTATCTCAGTTAATTATGAGGCAGCACTAGCATTACCTCCATTTTACAGATGAGGAAACTGAAAATTTTTTCCAACACTGCCTCTCCAAATGGCTCTTCTCTGGGTTTGTCTTATTTCTTCAAATAGATTATGGACTAGCTGAAGACCATGACTGTGCCTTTGTTGACAAGACCTGTTACTCAGTAGGAGCTCAGTAAATATTTATGTGATAAGATGATTGGTTCATTCAACCAGTATGCATTAGGCCTATGCCAGGCTCCATGGAGATGCAAAGATGCTCCAGGTAGAAAATGCAGTATTAGTTATACTCTAAGCTAGGCCTTCTACCTGGGCACGCAGATAGTATGGAGTGGTACATCTTGGGCTCTGGAGTTAGATGGACCTGTAGCTGTGGTTCAGTTTCCTCATTTGTCAAATACGGGTAGTAATACTGTATACTTTTGTAGCAGTAGTTTTCAACTGCAGGTATTTTGACCTGTAGCAGTCACTTGACAATGTCAAGAGACATTTTTTGTGTCACAGCCTGGGGGTGGGTGCTGCTGGCATTTGGTGAGTATAGTACAGAGATGTGGCTGACCATCCTGCAATGCACAGGACAGTCCCCAACCAATGAAGAATTATCCTGACTGAAAACATCAGTAGAGCCAAGGTTGAGAAATGCTGCCTTTTATGGTTGTGAAGATGAAACAAGATAATGAATGCAAAGAGTTTGGCGTAATTAGCTGTTACTCCAAGACAGCCATTCCAAAGACTGCAAAAGTAGCCTTTGAAAGGCAAACACCAAAAGGCTTAATTTTATCAGCATCAGTGATTCTTGCCAGTGAGAAGCCTTATGCTAAGGATTTCATGCTCTCCTGTTTAGGTATGGTGACAGACTCACTGGAGATTGTTTATGTTACACTGTGTACTCCTGTGAGCTGGCATGGACTTATCAAAGCTATAAAAGCCATTATTAGTTTTTAGGGTATTCCAGGAATTTACCAGGAATTCCTGCTTGCTTTATTAGTTTGTTCTTCGGAGATAATTTTGGTGTTCAGGAAAATGCTTTGACTATCAAATTCCCAAAACTTATTTGGATACGTGAGACATGAAACGTTTTTGTTTTCAAGTCAAGAAGCCTTATGCTTTTTTGGCCCTGGATTTAAAACAAAGCAGCTTTCCCCGTTTACTGCCTTACCTGCCTATCTGTGGGAGAGGGGTGGAGAGCTGTTAGATTTCCATTTATTGTCTGTTAGGGATTTATATTTGAAATTGTTAAACTTTTTTTGTAATTATAAAGGTAATATATGCATCTTATAGAAAATTTGAGTACCATAGAAAAAAACAGAAGACACAATTTTAAAAAAGGTGTCAGTAATTCTTTCACATGAAGGTATAACTAGCTTTGGTGTGTTGGTGTGTATTCTTTTATCTTCTTCTATTCCTATATTTTTTCAATAGATGAAGTATTCTGAGTATGTAATTTTGTGTTCCACTATTTTTAAAACTTCACATTGTTTTATTTTCATTTCCTTACACTACTAAAATGTCTGTGACTATTTCTAAGGACTGTAAAACATTCCATCAGTGGGCATTTTATTATTTATTTATTTAATCATATTGTAAAAAATATAGCCTATTTTCAGTTTTTTTTTGTTGTTGTTTGTTTGTTTTAGAGATAAGGCCTCCCTCTGTCACTCAAGCTGGAGTGCAGTGATGTGATCATAGCTTACTGCAGCCTCAAGGTGCTGGGCCCAACTGATCCTCCTGCCTCAACCTCCCTTGTAGTAGGACTGTAGACATGTGCCACCGTGACCCTATCTCTACCAAAAAAAAAAAAAAAAAGCTATCCTCCTGCCTCAGCCTCCCAAGGTGTTGGGATTACAGGCATGAGCTGTTGTGCTCAGCCTCTTACAATTTTGATGAGCATTTGCGCAATCAGTATTTTCTGTATTTCAGATCATTCCTGTCTTTACAATAGATGATCCCATGCGGAACAAAAGGATTGGATATGTGTGGGTATTTTGAGTAGCATTGCTATCAGTTGCCCCAAAGCTTCTACTAATTTTTGCTCCTGTTAGCAGAGTGATGTTCTCATTTTAGTGGCATTTGATGATTTTGTAGGAGAAAATAAATTTTGTTTTCTTTTAAATGTATTTGATATTAATGATCTAAATCATGTTTATATGACTGTTGGCTGTTTCTTAACAAACTGTTCATGTTCTCTGCCCATTTATTGGGAATTAGTATTTTTCTTACTTGTCATAAACTCTAGTTCATGTATTTCACGTATTAATCCTCCATCAGAGTTGCTGCAGATGTTTTCACCTACTGTTTCTAATTTTTTTATTTGGTTTGTCTTTTATTTTTGTTAGTGATACAGAGGTTTAAAATTTTCATGCAGTCTAATCTGTTGTCTTTTGCAACAGATTAGAAAGTTTTGGAGAACTTTCGGTTCTCCAACTTTCCACTCTCTATACTAAAATTAAACATTTCTGCTCTGGAAGTCTTTATTATGAATAATCAGTGTTTAAAATTATATCCCAAAGTAGACTACTACAGGGTTTCCTGATGAGAATAAGTGGGCCTGAAATGCTTATGGGCACCCACTATATGTCATGGAAAACTTTCACGTGTGTGTATGTATGAGAAAGAAAAAAAAGTAGAGAAAGTTGGTGAGAAAAGGGGAGGCTGATTTGGGCCGAGACTTCTTTGTTTGGTTTTGTTTTTCATTTCTTTTCCCTCAGGGTAGAAGTGAGCTTGCTGAAGACTGGGGGGCTTCCATAGATTCCTGAAGCATCTAAGTGACTGGAGCCAGCAACTTGCTGAGCGAGCTGTGACTATACCTGGCAAGGGGTGTGTGAGGCGTTTGTTGAGTCTGTGAGAAGGCAGGCGGAGCAGAGACTCTGGCCATGTCCCATCCAGTCCTCACCCCTTAAGTTTTGCCCTTTACTCACCAGCAGCACTAACAGTAGCTTAAAGATGAAGGTAACAACTAACACTTACCTAGCATTTAGCTGTTTTGCAAAACCCTTTCACCAAAGCATTTATAGATGCTTCTCATCTTGACCTTATGAGGTTAAATACTGTTTCCATCTCCATTAATTTGGAGGAAACCACCACTCAATAGATGCATCATTAAAATCTAGAGCTTCTGACTCCAGGGCTGACGTGCTCTACTTAAGAAAGAATTCCATCGTTGTGTTTTCTGGTTGTAGTTTCTTGGTGGCACTATTAGGCAGAAGGTAGCACCAACTGTTTTAGGTTTTGGAGTCAGACATATCTTGACTGGAATCCCTACAGAGCCCTATCTTGGCACTGTGACTTTGTTACTTATCCAGCCTGAACTCTGGTTTTCTCATATGTGAGATGGAAATAACAATGTCTACCTTGTAGGAATATAGATCCTCTGTATCCGGGAATTCAACCAATAATTCAACCAATAGCAGAAGGAAAATATTTGAAAAAGCTAAACAAAATAACCACACAACAATAAAAATACAAATAAAAATACAGTGCAACAACTATTTACATAGCATTTACATTGTATTAGGTCTTAAGTAATCCAAAGATGACTTAAAGTATATGAGAGAATGGGAGGATGTGTGTAGGTTATATGTAAATATGTGAGGAACGGAACTTTAGCATCTGCAGATTTTGGTGCATGTGTGGGTATCCTGGAAACCAATCCCCCATGGATACCGAGGGACAACTATATTAAAAAGATTAAGTTGAGAGTTGGTGCAAAAGTAATTGTGGTTTTTGCCACTGAAAGTAATGGCAAAACCACAATTACTTTTGCACCAACCTAATATGTGCAAAATGCCTAGTGCAGCACTACTGTGCTCATTCATTGTAGAAGCTCAGTAATGATTGTTTCTTAATCTAAAAGCTGAAAATGCTGCTGTTCTTCTCTGTTGTTCTTGTTTAAAAGTTTTAGAATTGCTGGTAGATCTGCACAGACTTGGGAAATTCTAGTGAGTATCACTATATTTAAATGCCAGAAACATTTCTTTATCTGAACTATTTATTTTCCTGTTCAGTAGATTTTCTTTTCTTTTGTGGATAAGTCATCTGCTTCTCTGAAATCCTTTTGCTTAGAGAATTGCGTGATGAATCCCCAGCTTAGGGTTGTGCCTGTAGGCAAAATAAAACATGTTTTGTCTACGTGTTCATGTAAAAAGCGCAGACAGCTCTCTTGAAGGGCAATAGTCCTTCTCTTACACATAGTTGAGATTTTTGGCATCATTCATGGAGTTGTTACTTGCCCAGGCTTCACAAACTTTCAGGTATCAGAGCAACATTAAAAAAGAAGATTGTAGAAAATCATGAGAAAAGACCAAGTTGCTAAATAACCCAGTGGAGACAAGTTGCTAAGTAAATTATCATTTTTCATGCCATTTAAAAGTTAGGTTAGATTTGATTGGTCTTTTTAAATATATACTTTAAGTTCTGGGATACATATGCAGAATGTGCAGATTTGTTACATAGGTATACACATGCCGTGGTGGTTTTCTGTACCCATCAACCCATTATCTACATTAGGTGTTTCTTCTAATGCTATCCCTCCCCTAGCCCCCCACCCCCTGACAGGCCCCAGAGTGTGATGTTCCCTTCCCTGTGCCCATTTGATTGGTCTTTATGCCAGACATTGTTCAACCACATAAAAAGAACTCCCCAAAATTAAATCATTTTTACCTAAAGAATTTCAGCATGAGGGTGTCTTGCCATTTAATGTATAATGTATGTATATTTAGGCTTTTCCATTTTAATAAATTGAGCCAAGTGATTACTATAAATGCTCTAACTTAGAATTATAATCCAATGCAGTCTTTTTTCTATGGATTTAAAAATAAATACACTTTGGGAA